CACATTGACCATCACGTATGAAAAAGTTTTCGTAAAATACTTTTCAAACTTAAAAAAAAGGAGGAAGAGTTAATATACGCATAACCTATTAATAGGCTTTCGAAAAAGAATTATACAAAATATAACATCACTTTTGGACAGTTTAAATAACATGATTAATATTTTTATTTTATTTGTGCATGTGTGAAGTTTTCGTTGCATTGTTTGCTTATAATTTGTTTTTGCACTTACCAGTAGAATACTGTTACTGGTCGTTTAGCGCACCTCGTGGCAATTTTTAAAAACAAATAGCGTTAAACACAGCGTCTTTATAAGCAAACGCATAAAGGCGACTTTAGCATGCATGGAACGAAAGGCATTGTACCTCTCGCTCGGTGGTAGCTTGTCGACCGGTGGTGCGAGCGAGACGGAGAGCGATGAAGACTTGTCCGTACAAACGGAGGGCAACAACCAACTGCCCGGCAGAAGGAACAACACGCACCAAGAACATCTCGGACTGGATCGACTTACATTTTTAGAACAGTGAGTTTTATTGCAGTTCAAATAGGGACCACTTTACTGTGCATTTCGGATTTAAAAATATTTTTGATCAATACTTTGACTTAGTACTTACTATAAATTTAAACGGATTACATTAAAATAAATATCCGCATGCTTTTTAGCACAGCTTTGCTTAATTGTTTTTTTTTTCACCAATTTTTTTTTCCACTAGGCATATTACATTGTAAATTGAACTTTAATATATAGTCTATAAAGTTGATGTTTTGGTACAGAGCTGCGTTCGATCATCATGCTGAAAAGAGACGGAAGAGGGGCAGTTTGTTCTTTAGAAAGAAGAAGGTAAGTTTTTTAAATATTGATGTCTACCTAATATTACTATTGCATTATTTGTTAGATGTAATCCTAAACCCTTAATTCGATTATGTACAGTGTGACAAGCAAATTAAAAAAAAACTGCTGAATTATTTTATAGAAAAATACGTGAGATTTTGATTTTAGTGTGTCAGTGACATGTATTTTTTTTTGCTACATAAAACTCCGTCGAAAACTATTAAAAACTATGTACAAAAAAATACGGATTATTCTTCTTTTTACATACAGTTAGTAGTGGTGGTACAGTTTAGCTATATAGATCTATTTTTAATAAGATTTATTTGATGAGTTTTCAATTTGTTGGTCCTTCGAGGCGATAATAAGCCCTCTTGAGACACTAAAACAGTGGTATGGGTAAACGCAGGACAAGTCGCGCAAGGCGGCGCACGTGTGGCAGGCGGCGGGGTCGGGCGGCCACTGCGACTGGTGCGCGCGCGCCGTCGCCGACAAGCCCGCGCTCTACTGCGACAGTCAGTGCACACTAACTACACTTTTTTTAATCTTTGTTATGTAAAGGGGGATTTTTGTCTTGGGAAAGACATGTCAATCCCATAGTGCTGCTAGTAGACTCTAAGAAAAGAGCTGGCATAATCGTACAGCCGCTTCAGATGCTGGCTCGGCCAATATTGACATAATTATGCCTATATCGGACGGGTTGAGCTTTAACTCCCGAATTACACTTACTTTATTATAATACAAAGTGTTCCCGTGCGACTTCGCATTACATTATAAAAACACTAGTTTTCGCCCGCGACTCCGTCCGCGTGGAATTAAAAAAAAGCCCATGTGTTCTTCCAGACTCCTCTTCAGCTGTGCCAAATTTTATCGAGATCCGTTCAGCAACGCAACGCGGACGGAATCGCTGGCGAAAGCTAGTTTGTGATATTTGCTATTGCAAATGTCAAAATTCAAATACTATGACAACTTACTTTTTTGATGCTGTCAGGTTGTTTATGTCTCGCTGGTATTTTCCAAATTATTAACCTCATAAGTTTAATAGCGTGAAAATATATAAAGCGTGTCGTAGGGCTTTTAATTAACAAAAAAATCTAAAATATACTGCGATTGTTGACATCATATCTATTACATCATAAATGTTGTACTATAATGTTTGAAATTTATTTCAGATTGTACGATGACAGTACATCAAAACGTCTGCAAAGATTATATAGTGGAATGTAACAAGCCAAAGTCTTCAAAGGTGGGTACAAGTTATAGTAACAATGTACAGTCGCGGAAATACGCAGTGTAACACTTTCAGAAAATATTACCTTTTTGTAACGAGACACATTTATTACTAATAACCAAGAAGATACCAAACATTAATATAATAATAAAAAGCAATAATTATCTACCATTTTTCATAGTCTTCACATGGGAGACGATGGCAACACTCGCATATGTCAGAACAAAAAATAACACCAAAGTGATCTCACAACGCTCATACTTGTTTCTATATTATTATTAACTCTGTATTTTCCCTAATTAACGATTTGTACCAAAAAGTGGATACAATTGAAAACTACGTCCTATTGGTTATTGTTCCTTTATCGTTTAAATGTCTAATTTTGAACATGGAACACCGCCAGTTACCCTGATAGTACCTTTATAATCTTTAAGAAATTAAGATACTTTAAATATTAATAATACTAGCTTTCGCCGTCGACTCCGTCCGCATGCAATTAATAAAACAAAAATAAGTAGCCTACGTGTTCTTCCAGACTATCCTATACATCTATGCCAAATTTCATCGAAATCCGTTCAGCTATTTAGACTACAAACTCTAACAAACATCCATCCATCTAGACATTCGCATTTATAATATTAGTAAGATTATTGGACTTCTGTTTTTGGATATTTCAATACTAATACTACTATTGGACTATGCCAAGATATGTGTTTTAATTTTTTTTTTATATATTTTACAGACATCTGTGGGCAAGTCGCTTAGCACTAGTAGCGGTAAAAGCAGTAAACGGAGCTCCGTCTCTGGTCAGTCGCAGAATGCTAACAGGTGAGCCTAATTCCTTTAGATAACAACAAAAAAAAACAATTAAAAAACAAAATGTATATAAGAATCATAAAGAAAACACGACCCATGCTTTAGAAGTTTTTGTATGGCATATATTTTGCTGCTTTTTAAATGTCAAAGGGATGCTCCAAAGGTTTTACGTTAACGCATTTTGTGATTTGTGTTGCGTGCGATAATGTGCGAGATTCCTTTGGATTTTGCGAGCATAAGGCTGATTTTCGTCTGCGATGGACGTCGTTTTTTATATTGATGCTTATGGATACGTAAGAAGATACACAAGTATGCAATACTGCGGGTTTTGGTCTATTTTGTATTATTTCGATACTTTTTAACTTTGCTTTGTATTATTGCCAGTTTATTTAATCTTATTTCCGGCTATTTTGTGACTTCGCTGTTTTTCGTAAGCTGTTTTTTTTTCTTTTCTCTGTTGGTTTTTTTTGACGATTTTTCCCAACGTCCCATTTATGTTTGAAGATTCTTCGGTACGCTAATTAATTTGGAGTTAGTGCACAATTAAGTATACGAGACTTGCAAAAGTGATTGGCTTTAAATTAAGTACTAGGGTAATATGAGTATCGCGGAGTCACATTTGCGAGTGCCGTGTACGCGGCGCTCTGACTCGTTTATAACCGCACTATGTACACGTGTGTTCGCGCGCTCAGCAAGAAGCAGTCTACGGGGTGCTACTCGCCGTGGCGGCGCGTCGCGACCAAGCTCGGCGTGCAGTAAGTTTGCGGGAATGCCTCTGTCTCTCTCATCCGCACACTCACCGCCATAGTTCTGTCTCTGTCTTTCTCTGTTCTCTCACCTACGACGCGGCTCTGTACTCCTGGTAACTCTCGGACGGATTTTGATTTTTATTGTTTTACTCTTTGGTTGGTTTTGATGATTTTTGTTTTGCTTGTCATTTGTTTTTAAAGTTATTGTTATTTGCCAATTTGAAGATTTTTTTTTATATTTGTATCATTTTTTATCAAAGTACTTGATAAGTTTCTGCGTAAAAAATCCAGAGGTATTAGATTTAACAAGAAAAGTAACCATAAGATAAATAAAACATTTTCTTTTTACTCGAAACGTTTCCTAAAGTCACCAACAGTCTCGACGTCGATTCATCATACATTCGTTCGTCAGAAACTCTTCTAGATCGTTCTCGAATCATCCACAACGCCTTACTTGTGTATCTTTCTATCTATTATGGAGGTAGTTTGAAGTTTCTCTTGAGAATAATGTTGTCGTAGATTTTGGTTGGCGTTCAGATTATTATTGGTTTTGCTGAAGTCTTTATTTTACATTTGGCATTAGAAGATAAGAGTTAAGTGGGAGATTTTAATTAAAAATAAAGTAAAATCAATTAGTTTATATAGCGTTAGGTTTATGAAATATCCGACTTAAAGGACCAGATTTGAAAATGTCTATGAAAATGTTCCTAAACTATATTAAAATAGAGAAGACTTATGGCGCTGAAACGCATGTCCAAAAATATAGTTGTCTCTTTTTTTCTTAAAAGAATGGCAGGGATGACATGTGTTTATGTGAAGGGATTTTTCTTCTCTGTTACTGTGGTCTTAATAATCTCCTATTTAGCTCTTTGGTTGCCTAGGTTTTAAAAGTTGTGAAAAATGTTAAATGCGGTAATTTCTTTGAAAATCAAAATCTGCATGATATTGTATTTTTTTTTATAAAATTGTGAAAGTCTTTTGCTTGTTATTATTTAGGCTTCGCTGAGAATTGTTAATAGAAGTTAATAAAATGGTAGGATATTGTTACTTTTTTAATAACGTTTTTTTTTTAAATTACGACTTGTGATCTATTGTGCCAGTGGTATTTGTTACGTCGGATGAATTTTGACCCTGTCTGAACCTTTTTAAATTTTCTTGTGTAAAATTTAGTCACACAGAATAATTTATAGAGTATTTTTTTTAATTTTTCAGTAAATCCTTTATGAAAATTTATCCATTTGACAAATTAACAAACTTAATAAAATAAGTAAATAATATAAGACGTTATTGCTGTTCTTAAAGTAAATGTTTTAAATTTACAATTATATGCTAACTAATATTAAGAGAGAATATACGACAAGCATAATGATAAACTAAAGCTTAAGTTAAATATTAAAAACTTAACTAAACGTAAAGTTGGAGTAAAACTAGAGATGTGATGAAAAAAAGATTATATTTCAGAGTAATCTAGAAAGTTAATAGATGCCAAAATCTTTATTTATTATTCTGTGTGTACTATTTAATATAATATATTGAAGTATATTAAAATTTGTGTTATATTTCCAGTACGAGCATCTACGCTGATGACAAGGACGGCTCAGACCACAAACATGATCAGAGCAAGTGAGTTATCTTACTAATATTATGAATGTTAAAGTTTGGATGTTTGATAGAGCTTGTAGCCTAAACAACTGAATGGATTTTAATGAAATTCTTCATAGTATGGAAGAAAACATAGGCTATTTGTGTTAATTTTTTTATTTCAATTTTTATTTATACCACTGTTTCGCGTAAAAATTTTAAATAAATACAATAATTCGGAAGAACACATGTTTGACTTACATTTTTTTAATAATATGCGCTCGGAATCGCGGATTCAGCTAATCTATACTTTATTTATCCATACTATATGAGTACTCTTATAATAAAACGTAAACACACTTCTTTGTTACCTAGAATCTCAGCTATTACTGCATATTTTTGAATAATTCTTTCTTAAATAAAATACCCTACACTTACGTCACGCTTTAAGGGACATATGTTCACGCTTTTTAATTTAGGGGGTGAATAAATTGGAAAAAATGTCATGCGTGAAATCTGGAATGTTGCGGATGCGCACGG